CAGGGTTTAAAGAAGAAAGAAAGTATCTGCTCCACTTCAGTCTACTTTCAGCAGGGAGAAACTGTCCCCCTTTACCCTGACCTGTGCTCTTGAAGGTGATTGCTGGGGTGACACGGCTGTTAGGAAGCAGATGGCAGCTCACCTGTTCTGAGCCATACTCATGGCCATCCAGTCTACTGGATACACATTTTTCCCGATGAGGTCCTTGAACATGATGAACGTCTCCATCAAGAAGTCCTGAAACAGTGAAGCAAAACTCACGGGTCATCTTGTTTTGTAGGAACTGACTGAAGTGCCCAGATCTTGTTGGCTGTATAAATGTCTTCTGTGTTATTTTTTTGGCAGGGCAGAAAGGAAAGGGGCACAACCTCTCATTAAGTCAATTCAACTGAACCAAAATCGGTGGATTTTTAAATGGAAGCTTAAAGTTGTTTACTGGAAGACTTTCACAAATATAAGTGGAATGTGAATATGGAAGCAAAAACACTCTCAAAATAAAGCACTATTAATTCTGTCTTTGGGAGTCAAGAAGTAAGTGCATTCATTAATGTGGTGATTTTATAATCATCTTCCCAAGTAAGTATTTGAGAAGGAAATAATCTCCACTATATGAAAGCATCTCAGGTCATTGAGCAAACAAACTGTTATTGAAATGAACATCTAATTATCAGTACTGTAAACACAGCTAATTCATGTGTCACAGACACATGCATGGGCAAATCAGAAGAAACACAAAGGAACTCTTCTCCTCTCCTCTCAAGAGATTCAAAGTGGACCTCAACACAGCCCACTAGATTTTGCAGTGGGCTAAATTTTTCTCCATCTTTAAAGAACACAAATTTAAGACAAATCCAGATAGCAAAGACCATGACCGCTGGCACTGGGACCCTCCTGAGCTGGAGGAAATGGAGTGGTACCACCAGTATGTTTTAAGTAAAGTTTAAAATCCATAAGAAACCTGTTCAGAGTTCTTCCCTTAGCCAGTGGTTTTCAAATTATTTTAACAGCAGAATTCTTTGTTCAAAGAAAATCTTATCTGAAACCTAGTATATAAAATAAATGAAAGGAGAACAGCTGTGGTTGAAATATGTGCATTTGTGTGTGTGTGTGTGCGCGTACACGCACGTGTCTATGCATACATGCATGTGTTTATGCATGTGAGGCTGGGAGGAATGTAATTTGAAAATCACTGCTTTAAGCTAAATTGCAAAATTCTGGAAATGAGACTGGCTCCTTTCCATAATCTTCACTTCTAGGGAAAATTACCTCAATGCTTTAAGTCCCAGTTTCCACACCAGCAGAATGGGGATAATATCTTCCTCAAAGGGTTACTTTGAGGACTAAATTCACACTGTCTTCAAGATGCATAGCACAGAGCCTGGCCCATTGTAAGTGCTCATTAAATGGGTGATGAAGTTGGTGAATATTTTTATTCAACCTTGAGATTACCTGGGGAACTGTGGATCTCATCACAGTTTTGTTCCATTTTTTGTGGGAATGGAGAAGGCCTCCAGCTCAGTAGATGAACAACCTAGCTTCTGAATGAGGAGATGTAGCATGGTGTAAGGGTCAGAAAAGAGGTTCAGCTCCTCTCTCTACCACATACTAGCCATGTAGCCTTAAGCAAACCGATTGTAGACTTCCAAATGTGACTACTAACATCTACTCATCCTGTTGTTAGGATTATATAAGAAAGTATGTATGTCAATAAATAAGAATTCCTTTGTCTACCTTCCTTTTCACCAGTCCTTCCACTGAGGATCAAAAATTAGGAATCTGGAATCTGGTCTTTCTATATCCATGTCCCATGACATAGAGAACTCAAGGGGGCAAAATCCTGAGTTATTTGGCTTTCCTTTTATTTTCTGTATATCCAGAAAAAGGTTCCTTTTCTTGTCAATCCTACTGTAATAAGGAGACAGTCTCACTGCTGAATGGATGAAAGAGTAGGACATTGGCTTCCTAATGGTTACATTTCTGTGGGCTACTCTCTGAGGTTGATCCAATTTGGTTCCCTTGGTCACTCCAAGGAGAGTTGAAGGTGAGTCCCCAGCAGCAGGACTCTTGAATCCGGTACCACCTTGAGGGCAAAGGGACTGCCTGGGCTGGGCCACACGTGGAAGCCATCTGCAGCAGTAGTATGAGCTCACAGGCCACAGTCCTCAGGCAGATAGTCCTATAGCAAATGAGTCCTGGGAGGCTAGAAGAGAAGGGGGCTCAGGGACCACTTTTCTGTGTATTTATTATCATAAAATAATAATAGCTACCTTTACTTGACACTCAATATGGGAGAGCTACTGTGCCCTCACTTACCCCTTCATGATACTGTGATGTAAATGATATTATCCCCACTTCATAGATGAGTAAACTGAGGCATAAGAGAAGCTAACCTGACCACAGTCACACAGCTAGTCAGTGACAAATCTTGCATTCAAACCCAGGGCTGTCTGACTACAACACTCAGGATCTTAAGCCTGTAAATACCCATGATTCATCAACAAATATTTGTTAAGGCATATCTAGACTAGACATTCAGGTCTCATCACTGACATGGACTGAGGATGTGTTCCAGAAGTGATATATGCAAGCCTGAGTGGGAATGAGAAAGAGGGAATAACATGAACATGTTTGTAAACTTAGACACACACATATTCAGGTCTGTGGGGAAGCCTTCTCACCATAAACTCTTTAAGAATCAAAAGAGTGACATATCTGCCCCATGCTGGCCCACAGCATCCTGTAAACTCACCACAAGTTCAGAGCTGGTCTGGAAGGTCTCAATATAGAAGGAATAGTGCTGGTCACCCATCTGGTTTAAAATGGCTGTCATACATGCCACAAAGTGACTCTGTAAGAAATAAAGAGAAAAGCCATGAAATAGTGGAGAGAGGATCATGATTTTCATCTTCTCCATTTCCTTGATTTCAGACAAGAAAATACCCTAGCCATCCCAGGTAAGTATAAAAAGACCCCCTGTCTTTACCAGATTGTCAGGTGAAACTTCCCTATGAGGACATACCTCCTTATGGCTTATTTATGCACTCATTCTTTCAAAAGCATTTAATGAACGCCTGCTACATTATATCCCTAGGCCTGTATTAGAAGCACCAAATATAGAAAATAGGGCCTGATCCATAGCATCTTCAGCTGCTTGTATGCTGGGAAAACAGCAATATGTTGATGTCAGGAGAGCCAGTTTACATCAAGATCCTAGAGACCGTTTGATTTTCTGATAAATAATTTTACATGTCTAAGTCCCAATTGTTTCATCTCTAAAGTGGAACAATAATCCATCCATATCTACCCCCAGAGTTGTATCAAAAACTTCAAATGGCTCCTATAGCGCCTTGAAAGCACTGAAGTTCTCTGCAGAGGGACCAGTTGTTGGACTACCGTGAATCAGCCAGTGAGAAGTCAGCAACTACTGGGATCCAGCACTTGGTAAGGGCTGTGGAAGATAAAAGAAGGGAGAAGAGGTGGTGCCTGCTCTTCAGGAGCTCATGATCTAGTTGGGAAAGCAAGATGAACATCCATGAGGGAAAACAGTACAAGACCCTTTATCTGCAAAGCAGACTAGGTGCCAGTGGGATTCAGACAAGTGGGGAATCAATACAAGGACTAGGAGAAGAGATGGGTTGGAAGTATCCATGGAATCAGAGAAGCAAGAACCATATCCTTTCATTCACCAGAATACAACACCACAGACCTTTTTTGGCTTTTTCCTCCCAGATTTTATGAGTCTGTATCAGGGTGCATGTTCTGTTTGGGCCAGTTTCTGCAAGCAGCATTTGGGGAGATAGGCTCTAGAAACCTGGTAAAGGAAGTACTGGCCACAAACCCACTCGGGGTTGAAGCCACTCAAGATTGTTTCTTGCAAAATTCTACTGGGGACCCCATGTTAGCCAAAGAAGTCCCAGTAGGCTGGGTCAAAGGCAAGTTGTAGAAGATGACCTGCTTGGTGTGATGCAGGCATCTCCAGGGCACTCCACCGCTAAAGGGCGTCAGACATAATGCACACCAGAGAGGTAGGTCTAGAAATATTATGCTTGAACCAATAAAATGGGGTTGGTATCACAAACTGCTGTCTTTGTTTAAAAACAAAAAACCTCTTTGCTAAAATATATAATCACTATGAGAAAAAAATTTCCCCCATGACAGGTTTACAGTTTAGTTACAGTGGTGGAGGAACACCCTTGACATCCCTACGCATCTTCTGCATCCCTACACAGGAAGTTTTTTGGGTAACTGATTGTTCCTCAAGTTCACAGTCCCAAAAGTAACTCCTAAAGACACCAATTCTCATTTGCTTCTAGGTTCTCTCCAATCAGGGCATTAAGGATAGATGTTTTCCCAGTCAGCAGGACCAACTATGCAATTTATGGGGCTCGGAACAAAATGAAAATAAGGAGTGCTTGTTAAAAATTACTCAGAATTTCAAGACAGCCATGGGGCCCTTCTGAGTACCAGGTCAGGTCTCATACCCGGTGGCCACCACACTCATGCACCATAATTGATTTGAAAACATGAGAAGCTGGCAGAGAGTGGAAAGCTGGGACTGTCAGGAGAAACAGCAATGACACTACATAATGGAGACCTGGAGCCTCTACACTGGGGCAACCGCCTTAGGCATTCAGGGAGCCAAACCCTCCCTTCTGGTCAGGCCCCCCGGGGAACTGGCTGGGGGTGGGGTGGGGTGTTGTGAAATTAACCATCCCTTCAAAACCAGGCAGAACACTACCATCACTGCCAACTTAGGCAGTTCCCACTTAAACCACCAAATGAGTTTTATTATTGCCTTTCCCTCCAGCCAGGCTGGATGCAAGAAAAGAGAAATCTCAGAGTTTGAGAGGTTTGAGTATGTGTGTGGGTGTGAGCACACACACGCATGTGTTTGCTGTACTCCGTCCATCTCTTCTCCTTTCCTAGAAGAATTCAGCCTGTGGCCACTAGAGGTCTTTCCTTTTCACATGGTAGCTGCCGTTCAGTTTGTTCGGCTTTTATTTATTCCTACGTGAGCAGACCCACTACACTTCTTGCATATAAACAGTGAAAATTACAGTATAAAGGACTTATTATTCCTTCGTTTGGAGTAACTCTGCTGCTGGCCAAAGCCCGGCTCATTTTGCAAGGAAAGGGAGGACATTCTCTGCAGGTAATTCCACTGTTTCAAGGTAAGAGATTTGGGTAGGGTTTATTTTTTTGTGATCGGTGGTCCTCTAAGAGAAAATGCTGTTGTCTCTTGGACATTAGTTTACTTTGAAAGCTTTCACTTAAATGAGTCCTGGGATTGAGCCCGTGTGTGAGTGCGTGTGTGTGTGGTGGTGTGTGGTGGAAAATCCACCATTGTCAAAACTGTAGGCTGCCCCAAATGCATAGATACGGAATGCTTGTTATTTCCAATGGCTTGATTTGAATTCGAAGGGGCAATAAAAGCAAAACGCTTTGCTCAAGTTGCCTGGAATTACCTTGAAAAGGTTGCATTGTCTTAAGCCTTGTTTAGAGAAACTTTCATGTTTCATTTTAAAAGATAATTAAAGGGGAAGGGCGTCCTGGTCCCCATCTAGAGGGAGTGACCATTTTATGAAAGAAACCAGTATCTTTTTATAAGGACTTGCTCTGGGTATCACAGTTCACTGATCAGTCAAAATTACTTTTACCAGCTTGTTCATTTCTTTGTTCTAACTACCATATAGAAAAACCCAGCTGAGTGCCTTTCAGTATGATTTGTAGTATGATGTGACTGAAGTTTGGACAAGTTACCTGCATTTAGCTGTTAATGACAAAATGACAGTGTTTTACTTTCAACTGGAAGTACCTCTTTTTTCCTACTATGGTGTCTAGCCCACTTCACTATCGAATCTGTCAGAAATCACACCAATGTGACTGACAGGTTCATGAAATGGCATGAGACACCAGCAGCAGGTTCCTATTCTGAAAAAGCTTCTCTCTGACATTTAAATTAAAAAACAAAACAGAAAAACAAAAAATCTCTTTGTCCTGCAGTGATAGACTGATGGAATAGCATTATGCTTCTCTGATGTTTACCTCTTTTTCAGGAGTACCCTCAACAGGGCAGTCCACCTCTTTGCTTCCTGCCCCCTTCCCTTTTTATAAGTTTGAGACCTTCTATATCCACCATGTTTTAAACAATTAGAAAGAGACATAGGAATTGGGGGTGGGGGTGATAATCAGACTGTATTTGCCCTAGCAACACAGATATTCCTAACACTGACATTGCTCAAACTTTGTAGGAGCCCAGTGCCTCAGCCCCATGAGCAACATGAAAAAACCTGAATGCTGCATGGGAGACAGTGGGGTGGAGGGATCCCCTGCAGTCCAGGCTAGTGAGAATCCCCTTTCTTCTCATCCCTGGCAGAAATTTTGTAGTCGACATATATTTACTACCAAGGCATGAGGCAGCCACTCATCCATACCCAAGCAGCATGCCAGGTGCCTGTCTGGGAAATTGCTTCTTAAAACAGAATACCAGAGGGACCTGCATATTAAATTCTGGAGAGAAATTATATCTGAGATGCTGGCACAAACCAGGCAGAGTCAACCTCGGCTGCATTTGGGGTGGCTTAAAATGTAGCTAATGAAATCACAGTGTGAAGAGAAACGGTTTGAAACTAGGTCAAACGTGTAAAAATAAGTGCAGTCATCACCGGCACTTGGCTGATGAGGGGCTACTTAACACCTTGAGTGGCGGGCTTATTTGCCGTATAAAACCCTCTTCAGTGATCTGCAGCGATCAACCCTCTGATGATCAATACTGATGGATTAATTCTGTCCATCAGTATGGAGGGGGGCGGTTCTTGCACACCTGGGAAAGAGTTGAACCTCCCAAGGAAAACAGTCGGAGTCTCTTCACTATGTGATAGCAAGAGGAAAAGAGAAACCCAGTACCACGTGGTTAACATCAATTAGCTGGGATACTGGGTAATTGCACCCAGGAGAGCAGTCCTCCCCAAATCCTTCTATTCCTTTGCATAAAAACATCATCATCACATTGATAAGGCCAGTAAAAACACCTACACACACACACACACACACACACACACACACACACACACACACACACACACACACGAGTCAGGACCCCTGCAGGGCCCAGTGACCCTGGAAGAAGCTGTCAGTTTGCTCTGCCCTGACGAATGAACACAACAGGGTGGTGTTGGGGGAGAGGGGCATGGCTGCTGTGGATGCGTGCCCCACTCACCTGCGATTAGTGGGAGTGATAAGATCGCAGAGGGAGGGAAAAAACCAACTTCTGGAGCTTGCTACCTAAATGCCAACATTACTACGCGATACCAGCTGGTGACATGTTGCTATAGTTACTTCAAATAATGTGCATGACCAAAATAAAATAAAATATGGAAAGCGCCAAGGAAAGGAGATGAGGAAAGTTTGCATGCCAGGGAGGCTCACAGAGAGATGAAAAGTTCTATCTGTCTGGCCATCTATTTTCTTTGGAGACTGACAGTGGCCAAATGCCACTCTCAGCCTGCTTCTCCATTCACCCGCATGCCTGTGTGGTTATATAATGTATTTTTTTCTTGGGTGGAATTAACTTCTGGAGCTTGCTACCTAAATGCCAACATTACTACGCGATACCAGCTGGTGACATGTTGCTATAGTTACTTCAAATAATGTGCATGACCAAAATAAAATAAAATATGGAAAGCGCCAAGGAAAGGAGATGAGGAAAGTTTGCATGCCAGGGAGGCTCACAGAGAGATGAAAAGTTCTATCTGTCTGGCCATCTATTTTCTTTGGAGACTGACAGTGGCCAAATGCCACTCTCAGCCTGCTTCTCCATTCACCCGCATGCCTGTGTGGTTATATAATGTATTTTTTTCTTGGGTGGAATTGACACTGTCTGTGTGGTGGATCTAGGACTGGAGGTGGGAGGTTATGGTGTCATGAAAATAAGGATTCTACAACCCTTTCATCTTAGAGCTTTGTCAGGCGGCTCAGTGCTGTAGTCCGTGGCAGTCTTTGGGGTAATGAGTGAGCATATTCTCCCTTAGCAATCATCAGGTTCTAGGCACTACGGGAGGCTCCAGGGTGCATCAGTGAGCAGGATGGATAAGGTTGCGCTCCAAAGAGCTCATTCCACCTGGTTCTGCCAGGATGTAGAGCATCAGAGTGGGGGCCTCAGAGCCACACGGCTCGAGTTCAAATCTCAGTTCTGCCTCTTCCTAGAAGTATGACCTTGGGCAGGGCCTTGTGGCTCCATGTCCTCCTCTGTAAAAGGGGATGGAAATATTCCTCACATAATATGGTTTTGGTGAGAATTAAATCAGTTTGCACAAAGCACTTAGAACACAGAAACCCCTCAGTAATTATCAGCTATTATTATTCTTGTCATTGTTGCTGACTCTGATCCAGAGAAACTACGCAGACTAGCTAACGGAAATTCCTGATGTGGGCACAGGCAATGTTGATTCTGTCCACCTACCTGTGACTATCTGTGGACATATCAAGTGCTTGCAATCACAGCTTGGAACAAACAGTTAAGTGCCTTTGACTTTGAACATGCCTTTGGTTAACAATATGCCCCAAGTCTGGCTGTTTAGTGAATTGAGTGTGTGCCTCTTGGAGCAGAGCATGCTGGGAGGCTTCTTTTATTTGGGGATAACTGCTGGCAGGTAGAAAGAGTGACAACAGTGTCCAAATTGTTCAAAAGCAAGAAATACAACTGTCTTCATCGAGAATTTAGTCTCCCAGCTGTTTGGCTTTAGGAGGTGCCTGTCTCTGTATGCAGTGACATTCTTTGGTTACCCAGGGATCCTGGTGTGTGGTAGAGAAAACCAAGTCACCTTCTTTCAGGGGGAAGCTTCTTAATGGGTACAGATACAGGGGTTTCATGTGTTCTGCTCCATGTCAAAGGCACAACATCACAAAAACACAAAAAGGTACCACTTGGGTGCTGTGTACCCTGGGTGCACTCTGATACATTTCATCTGTACAACATGGCAACTTTTACAGAGTTAGTGGTGTGCGCCCCTGCCTGACACGTGAGCATTTTTGATGGATCAGCTCTCTAGCATCACTAGGGCCAGACCCACAGGCATGGTGTCTCCTCAGAGAGCTATCCTCATTGACAAGGAGCAGGAGTGGGTGGGGGGGTAATATCACTGCTTTGAGTCAAAGCTGGAAGAGGAGCCTGAATTGGTCGCACACTAATCCTGGTTGGAGACAGTGCACGTGGCTCTGTACTGTGGGGTCATTTTAAATCTTCCAAAGGATACAATGGAAATCTTATAAGGTCACTTTTATGCTCACTTTGCAGATAAGGAAAGTGTGATACATGGAGGTCCAGCAGCCCACCTACACAAACACTTAGTATATGTTGGGGCAGGAATTAAGCTTTCAGTCTTTCTGACTCTAAAACCTGTGTGTTGTTTTTTTTTTTATAAATACACTGTATCTCCCTTGTCAGCACTGTCAGCTCTACCTGGGCAGAGATTTTTATCTACTTATTCATTGCTGTAGTTCCAGAATCTAGAATGGAACTGCACATAGTATGGGCTAAAGAAATATTTGTTATATGAAAGATTGAATTTATTATAGCATTCCCCATCTCTAAAAGAATGTTACAATGTCCCTCCTCACAAATTGAAAAGTTAGAATTATGTGTAGACTACTTTGCCTTAGGGGAGGCCAGACATGAAAGAATTTTTGTTCCACTCCTGAGCATATTCTGTCTTAAATTATATTTGATCAAGCCAGAATGAGATCATTCTTTCACACATTCCTTAACTTAACAAATATTTCTTGAGCACCATGTATGTTTCAGGCATGGTTCTAGGTGCTGGGGCTATAGCGAGGAATGAGATTAACAAGGAATTTGTTCTTAAGGAGCTCTCATCTCTGCTGGGAAAAGCACCAGGGGTGGGGAAACACATCATAAGCAAGTGAATACATAAGTAAGATCACTTTTGGCAGTGATATCTGCTACCAATGAAATATTACAAAATAATGAGTTAGAGATGAAGTAAGAGGGGACCTATTTTCAGTAAGAGAGACAAAGGTGGCCTCTTAGCTGATATTTGAGTGGATATCTGAATGATGAGAATCAGTCATGCAAAAATCTGGCAGAATGGTATTTTGGACAATGGAACAGAAGGTGCAAAGGCCCTGAGGTACCATGCACTTGGAGAGCTGG